AGTTGTCTCTCCTCACCTGTAGCCCTGGGGCTGATACTGGATGCCTTTTATAGCCGTTTTATTAGCTGTTTGTGGTAATGATGTTCATAAAGGATTATTGTTTTCTGTCCTACTTTTTGAAGCAAGAAAAAACAAAACGACAGAGCCCAAACTCACTGCTGTTGAGTCAATTCAGTGACCCCATAGGGTTTCCAAGGCTTTAAAGTCTTTATGGAAGCAGACTTCCTTATCTTTCTTCCATAGAGTGGCTAGTGGATTCAAACCACTTACCTTTCAGTTAGCAACCTAGCACTTTCGTTTATTTCCCAGAGCCTTACAAAACTAAATCTGCCTGCTAACAACTGAAGATGTGCTAAGACATTAGTTTGAACAACAGAAAACTACCTTTGGTGGCAGAATTAAAAAGAAAAAAATCTAACGGGCGCCTCTCCCAACATTCAAAACAATTGCTCTGTGTGTGTGTGTGTTGGAGGGGGAGAGAGATTGGGGTGAAAGTTTACAGAGAAAATTTATTTTCCATACAACAGTTCATACACATTTTGTTTCATGACATTGGTTGCAGTCCCCAGTGTAAGAGCTCTCTTCCCACTTCTTCCCTTTGGTTACCTTTTTCCTGTGTTCTTTCCTATGTATTCCTGCGCTCTGAGCTCTCTCCCTGTGCAAATACTGTCCTTCTGACCTCCTGTAGTTGATTGTTCTAAGGAGCATACCTACCTGGTGTAAATGTTCATCTTAAACACTTGTCTGTTGTTTGGCTGGGAGCCACGGGAGTGAGTTCAGTTCCAGGTCGGAAGGTTGACTATGGGCTATAGTCAGGGGGTTTCACCAGTCTCTGCCAGACCAGTAAGGCTGCTCTTGTTTTATGATTGTGAGTTTTGTTCCACATTGTTCTCCCACTCCATCCAGGATCTCCTGCACTGATCCCTTTCCGAGTGGTTGACACTGGTAGCTAGGCACCATCTAGTTCTGATCTAAGGGTCATGTAGGCTGAGATTCACATGGTCTAATAGCCCCTTAGACTAATTGTTTCCATGTGTCTTTGATTTTCTTCATTCTTCGCAAAGCAGTTACTTTTTTCTTGGTAGAACATTACCTATTGTCATCAAGTTGATTTCAACTCATAGTGAACCCCAATGGGTTTCCAAGACGTTAAATCTTTATGGAAGTAGATTACTTCATCTTTCTTCCATGGAGTGGCTGGTAGGTTTGAACTGTCAACCTTAGCAGTCAGATGCCTTAGGCACTGCGCCAGCAGAGGTCCTTATTAAAGCCTATTAAAAAAGGTATTTATCACTCTTTTTGCAGGACATCTGGTCAAACTGATGATGCTGCTTTAGGCCTATCCTGAGTGCTGCATATTGGCCTCAGCAAATGGTTCATGCAGTGAGCAAACAGTTCACCCTCTTCGTTGTGTTCTCCAAACCTTCTTTTATGTTTAAGCCTCAACAGAGACCTCATCAAGTTGTAGACACCCTTTGTTGTGGGCCTTAGTAGTTAATAGAGCTGTGCACATTTTGGTTATTACTTTGGACAGTTAAAGTCTGGGATTGTTTACCAATCATAGGGAAAGAATTCCTCCCAATCCAAGAAGCCACACGTTTTGGCTAAAAATGAATTCCATAAAGAAATTTCTGAGCCTTGGAGATGCTATTTTCATTTCCTGTTGTCTCATCTTTCTTTGGCAACATCCTGGGTCTTTGTTGAAAAATGTATTTGAAAAGAGAACTACCTCCTAATTTGAAATAAGTTACCACCATCAAATAATTAATTTCCCAGTTTGTGGAAAACTTAAGAAATTTGGTGGGAAAGAAGGCTGATTGCTTTTCAGAAGCAGAAACCTCATCATTAGTAAGTATAGTAGCAGATGTGAAAAGTATTCCTGGGAACCAGTTAGAAGCTTGGGCTAAGTCATTGTATTGGTGTTAATGCCTTCCATTTACAGATCTTGGAATAGTTGCTCTTTTTGACCTCTACTCCCCTATACCTAGGCAGGTCACCAAGACTATTAACAAGCTTCTCTTTTTTCTTGATAATCTGGCCACTTTTTTTCACTTCTGTTGCTTCTTTCCATTTTCATGTCAGTGGATAGGCAACCACTGGCACCTCTGTTCTAATACCAATTTGTCAGTATTGGTCTTGTGCCTCTAGTAATGGCCTCCTCCTAGTCATTTAATCCATATGCAGCTAAATGGCACTCTCTTGCTTTAAAATACTTTAATGGACCCGACTGTACCCATGTAAGTCCAAACTAATGCCCTGGGTATTTTGATACCCCCCTGCTTTCTCCTCTTGTCTACCCTTGACTAACTCTTGGATCCTTTGGGTTAAGCCAGCTTAGTACTTTCACTAAGAATTCTTCCTTCACTAAGATGCTCCTCCTCTGTGCATCTGTAGCAACACCTACTTCGCTAACATAGCAATGACCTTATTATAGCATTATTACCTATTTACTTGTGTGTAGCTCTTATTAGACCAAAGCTCTGCAAAGGCAGGTATCTTGACGGTCTTTTTCACTAGCACTGGCATATAGTGGTGCTCTGTAAATGCGTGTCAGGTGAATGGGAGAATAGCCAGTTAACAACCTGGGGAAGTCATCATAGCCCTGCCTCTTCTTGAGAGCTCTTCTTTATTAACTCTTCAGATTTGTACAGCAAAAAGAGGCCTACTCAACAGAGTATCAAGTGATACTGTAGAGAAAGCAGCAGCATGGACTGCATCCATCAGCATTTAGTGTGCTATATAATAGCTCCTATCTTTAAGAATCATCCCCTGCTGAATCCATGTGTTCTTCCAGATTTTCTTTATACTGAAACTTGAAATAATTGCCCATAGTCTTCCTGCCTCCCCCTCTTCTTTCCATTCTTGTATGACTCCCATTAGGCATTTGTCTGCATTGCTCCACTGAAACTATTGTCACAGTCACCAGACCTCCACATGGCTAAATCAGATGTTTAATTCTCAGTCCTCACCTTGCTCAAACCTTCAGAGTTTCCTGACATAGTTGATTACTCCCTCCTTGAAACACTTTCTTTACTTAGCCCAACGACACCTCTTGGTTCTCTGGATACCTCATTGGCGCTTCTGCCAACCTTTAAGTCCCGGAGTCATCTGGGCTGCAGTCCTTGCATTCCTCTTCTGTCTGCATTTGCTCTCAAGGTGACATAGTCTGGCCCCATGTACTCTGAAGACCAGACTTTGTCATTTCTAGGCTCGACCTCTTTGGTGAACTCAAGATTCATATGGCACTGTTTAACATTTTCACTTGGATATCTGTTAGATACCTCAAACTTCAGCATGTGCAAAGTGAACTCTCTATACCCTCCCAGCACACACGGGTGCACACATGCACATGGTGCATTCTTCTGTGGTTTAGTAAGTAGGGTTATTATAGCTGACGAGAAATCCTCTGATGGCTCTCTTTCTCCAATCAACAAGCACATCTTGTCGGCTTGATCTTGAAAATATATTCACAATATGGACATTTCCCACCACCTCCATCACTGCTACCTTAGACTCAGTCATCGTACCCTTCTGGAGGGTGTAGCAGGCTCCTAATTGCCCTGCTTACGTCCTTGTCTACCTGGACTTACCTGCCTTCCTCATTGCAGCCAGAGTGATTCTTTTGAACATAAGTCAGATCATACATGTTTCTGTTAGAACATTCCAGTAGTGCCCTCTTTCACAAAGAGTAAAGACCAACTACCTACAAGGTCCTTTGTGAGCTGGTTCCTAGATACCTTTCTGATTTCATTTGCTCTCCCCCTTCCTCCCACACTTGAGCCTGCCTTTTTCTGCTGTTCCTTAAACACATTCTTGACTTGGAGCTTTTGCACTTGTGGTTTCTTCTGTCCCTCAGATACTATGCATGGCTTTTCTTTTTAGATCTCTGCCCTTACTAGTCAGGCATTTCTTGACCCCTGACATACCATCTCCTTCAGATTGGGCTAGTCTAGATTTCTCCTGGGCATATAGACCCTTGAGTGACTTTGTTGTTGTTGTTATGTGCCGTTGAGTTGGCCCCAACTCATAGCGACCCCTCCTTGGGTTTCCGAGGCCGTATCACTATGGAAGTAGGATTGCCCAACCTTCCTTCCGAGGAGTGGCTGGTGGGTTTGAACCGTCAGCCTTCTGGTTAGCAGTCAAGTGCCTTAGGTACTATGCTACCAGAGCTCCCTGAGTGACTTTAGATTTCTGTTTTTCTATTTCCTTTGTCAAGGTACTCTTAATAATTTGATGTGGATCAGGAGAGATAATCTCTGAAGTTTCTGTTACTTGAAAAAATCCTGATTACATGATTCTGGAAAATATTCTAGCTTGTACATATATAGTTTTAATCAGGAAGAAAGGAGTGGATCATTGAGTTCAAGACACACTAAAGAATCTAAACCAGTAATATGTTTAGCAGTTTCCTTGTTTAATTTTGGAATCATGGGTAATTAGAATTCATAACTAGTCTCTTGAAATTCGATACCAGCTATTCCAGCACAGTTTGAAGCACTACAGTTTCTAAGAGGTGTTTATATATGAGTGGCTAAACACAAAAAAGGGAGCTCTGGTGGCATAGTGCATAAGACATTTGACTGCTAACCAGAAGCAGCCACTCCTCAGAAGGAAGACAGGGAAATCTACTTCTGTAGAGATACTGCCTCGGAAACCTGAGGCAGGGGGTTGCTATGAGTTGGATCCAAGTTGACAGCAATGAGGTTTTTTTTTTTTTTTTTTGTAAACACGAAAAAAGGGCCTAAGCTCCAGGTGGCCATTGTTGTCTGTTTGGTTCATGTGTCTCCTCATTGCCCAGAATGCTGCCTGGTGCATAGGAGGTACTGAATGATGGGAATGGATTCATTTCAACTTTACAAGTAAGAACTTAGGCATTTTTTAAATTGTCAATCATAATTTTCCTTACACATTTTAAATGCTAATATAAATAACTTGAATAATAAGAATTAATCACCAGGCGGCTAGTTTCTGCCCTCACTCCTATGTTTCTGCTTTCGTAGGTCCTAAAGAAGAGGAAGAGAAGCCTTCAGCTTCAGCAGTTGAACAGACGGATGCTCTTCAGGAGGTGGTTAGTCACGATGTGCTTCCAGAAGTAACAGTCCCTTCTCCTGCCTGTGAGCCACAAATAAAACCAGATGAGAAGCTAGAAGCAACAAATTGTGAGATTAATGATTTGTTGGAGGAAGAGGAGGAGGAAGAAGAGGAGGAAGATGAGGAGTTAGAAGAAGAAGGGGAAGAAGAAGGTGACATGCCAAATGAAAGTTCTGTGAAGGAGCCAGAAATACAGTGTGACGAGAAGCCAGAAGATTTATTAGAAGAACCAAAACACATTTCAGAAGAAAATCTTGAAGACTCTCCAGAAGTAACACCAGTTATCAAAATTCCTAAAACTAAAGGAGAACCCAATGGTGATGTATTTGAAACATTTATGTTTCCATGTCAGCATTGTGAACGAAAGTTTACAACCAAACAAGGGCTGGAACGTCACATGCATATTCACATATCTACAGTCAATCACGCGTTCAAATGCAAGTACTGTGGGAAAGCATTTGGCACACAGATTAACAGGAGGCGGCATGAACGTCGCCACGAAGCAGGGTTAAAGCGAAAACCCAGCCTAACACTACAGCCATCAGAAGACCTTGCTGATGGTAAAGTATCTGGAGATAATGTTACTCCTAAAGATGAATCAAATCCTCCTAGTCTTGGGCAAGACTGTCTGATCTTGAATTCAGAGAAAGCTTCCCAAGAAACAGTAAATTCTTCTGTTGTAGAAGAGAATGGGGAAGTTAAAGAACTTCATCCATGCAAATACTGTAAAAAGGTTTTTGGAACTCATACTAATATGAGACGGCATCAGCGTAGAGTTCATGAGCGCCATCTGATTCCCAAAGGTGTACGGCGAAAAGGAGGCCTCCTGGAAGAGCCCCAGCCTGCAGCAGAGCAGGCCCAGCCCACCCAGAATGTCTACGTACCAAGCACAGAGCCTGAGGAGGAAGGGGAAGCAGATGACGTGTACATCATGGATATTTCTAGCAATATCTCTGAAAACCTGAATTACTACATTGATGGTAAAATTCAGACTAACAACAGCACTAGTAATTGTGATGTGATTGAGATGGAATCTAACTCGGCTGACTTGTATAGTATCAATTGTCTGCTTACACCAGTGGCAGTGGAAATTACTCAGAATATAAAGACCACACAGGTCTCTATAACAGAGGATGTTCCTAAAGAGCCTTCTAGCAGCACAAACAGTGAGTCCAAGAAGCGGAGAACTACCAGTCCACCGCTGTTACCCAGAATTAAAGCTGAAATGGATTCGGACCCTGTAGCACCCTCTTGTTCCTTAAGCCTGCCTCTTAGCATATCAACTACAGAAGCAGTATCTTTTCATAAAGAGAAAACTGTTTATTTGTCATCAAAGCTCAAACAGCTTCTTCAGACCCAGGACAAACTAACTCCTCCTGCAGGAGTTTCAGCAACTGAGATGCCTAAATTGGGTCCTCCTCCTGTGTCGGCTCCTGCATCCATGTTACCTGTGACCTCAAGTAGGTTTAAGCGACGGACCAGCTCTCCTCCCAGTTCTCCACAACACAGTCCTGCCCTTCGAGACTTTGGGAAGCAAAGTGACAGTAAAGCAGTGTGGACTGAGGCAGTCCTGAGTTCCAAAAAACCCAAATTAGAAAGTCATAGCAACTCACCAGCCTGGAGTTTGTCTGGGAGGGATGAGAGAGAAACTGTGAGCCCTCCGTGCTTTGATGAGTATAAAATATCTAAGGAGTGGGCAGCCAGTTCTACTTTTAGTAATGTGTGCAACCAGCAGCCGCTAGATTTGTCCAGTGGTGTGAAACAGAAGGCTGAGGGTGTGGGCAAGACTCCAGTCCAATGGGAATCTGTATTAGATCTCAGCGTACATAAAAAGCCCTGTGGTGACTCTGAAGGCAGAGAAGTCAGAGAGAACCATTCAGTGCAGCCAGCCTGTAGTGCTGTAAAGAAAAAGAAACCAACTACCTGCATGCTACAGAAAGTTCTTCTCAATGAATACAATGGCATTGATTTACCCGTAGAAAATACTACAGATGTGACCAGGAGCCCAAGTCCTTGTAAATCACTAGAGCCCCAGCCAGACCCTGATCTTGGTCCTGACTCTAATTTATCTGCTCCTGCTGTTGAATCCCCACCTGATGTTTCTCCTTCATCACCTGCACCACAGACATCTTCCCTGCAGACATCTTCCCTCTCGTCTGGTCAGCTGCCCCCTCTCTTAATCCCAACAAATCCCTCTTCCCCTCCACCCTGTCCTCCGGTCTTAACTGTTGCCACACCACCCCCTCCACTCCTTCCTACGATTCCCTTACCTCTCCCAGCCCCCTCTTCCGATGCATCTCCTCATCCATCCCCCTCTCCCCTCTCAAATGCTGCCGCACAGTCTCCACTTCCAATTCTTTCCCCTACGGTGTCTCCCTCTCCATCTCCCATCCCTTCTGTTGAACCACTCATGTCTGCTGCATCCCCTGGGCCTCCGACACTTTCTTCATCATCTTCCTCCTCATCTTCCTCATCTTCCTTCTCCTCTTCTTCCTCCTCCTCTTCGCCTTCACCACCTCCCCTCTCAGCAGTATCATCTGTTGTCTCCTCTGGTGATAATCTGGAAGCTTCTCTCCCCATGATATCTTTCAAACAAGAAGAGGTAGAGAATGAAGATCGGAAATGCAGGGAAGAGCCCCAGTCTTCAGTCGAACAGGACGTTGTTCAGGAAACATTCAACAAAAACTTTGTTTGCAATGTCTGTGAATCACCTTTTCTTTCTATTAAAGACCTAACCAAGCATTTATCTATTCATGCTGAAGAATGGCCCTTCAAATGTGAATTCTGTGTGCAGCTGTTTAAGGATAAGACAGATTTGTCAGAACATCGCTTTTTGCTCCATGGAGTTGGGAATATCTTTGTGTGTTCAGTTTGTAAAAAAGAATTTGCTTTTCTGTGCAATTTGCAGCAGCACCAACGAGATCTCCACCCAGATAAGGTGTGCACACACCATGAGTTTGAGAGTGGGACCCTCAGACCCCAGAACTTCACAGACCCAAGCAAGGCCCATGCAGAGCATATGCAGAGTTTGCCGGAAGATCCTTCAGAAACTTCTAAAGAGGAAGAGGAGGAGCTAAATGATTCCTCCGAAGAGCTTTACACAACCATAAAAATAATGGCTTCTGGAATCAAAACAAAAGATCCAGATGTACGATTGGGCCTCAACCAGCATTACCCAAGCTTTAAACCCCCTCCATTTCAGTACCATCACCGAAACCCCATGGGAATTGGTGTGACGGCCACAAATTTCACCACACACAATATCCCACAGACTTTTACTACTGCCATTCGTTGCACAAAATGTGGAAAAGGTGTCGACAACATGCCTGAGCTTCACAAACACATCCTGGCGTGTGCATCTGCTAGTGACAAGAAGCGGTACACCCCTAAGAAGAACCCAGTCCCTTTGAAGCAGGTGGTGCAATCCAAAAATGGTGTGGTGGTTTTGGATAACTCTGGGAAAAATGCCTTCAGACGCATGGGCCAGCCCAAAAGACTGAACTTTAGTGTTGAGCTTAGCAAAATGTCATCTAATAAGCTCAAGTTGAATGCACTGAAGAAAAAAAATCAGCTTGTGCAGAAAGCAATCCTTCAGAAAAACAAGGCTGCCAAGCAGAAGGCTGACTTAAAAAATGCTTCTGAGTCATCTTCTCACATCTGCCCTTACTGTAATAGAGAGTTCACGTACATCGGAAGCCTGAACAAGCATGCTGCCTTCAGCTGTCCCAAAAAACCTCTCTCTCCTTCCAAAAAAAAAGTTTCTCATTCATCCAAGAAAGGCGGACACTCGTCGCCTGCAAGCAGTGACAAGAGCAGTAGCAGCAACCACCGCCGACGGACGGCAGATGCGGAGATCAAGATGCAGAGCACACCGACTCCCTTGGGCAAGACCCGAGCTCGCAGCTCTGGCCCTGCACCGGTCCCCTTGCCCTCCTCGTCCTTCAGGTCCAAGCAGAATGTCAAGTTTGTGTCTTCAGTGAAGTCCAAGAAACCGAACTCCTCCTCATTAAGGAACTCCAGCCCAATAAGAATGGCCAAAATAACACATGTCGATGGGAAAAAACCCAAAGCTGTGGCCAAGAATCACTCTGCCCAGCTTGCAAGCAAAGCGTCCCGGAGCCTGCACGTGCGAGTCCAGAAAAGTAAGGCTGTTCTACAAAGCAAAACCACCTTGGCAAGTAAGAAAAGAACAGACCGGTTCAGTATAAAATCTAGAGAAAGGAGTGGGGGGCCAATCACCCGAAGTTTACAACTGGCTGCCGCCGCCGACCCCAGTGAAAACAGGAGAGAGGACAACGGTGCCAAGCAGGAGGTGAAGGACTTCAGGTAAGTAGTGTCCTCCAGGGCTGGAGCATTCAAGACGTGAGGATGGGCAGGAAAACGGTGTGCTTGCCCATGGGTATTTTTTCTTTTTCTGTAAGGTTTTGCTCCAAGCCTGGGAAGGAAGTAGATGTTGTGTATGCTGTAGCTGTTAAGAAGGGTCACTACTTTGGCTGCTGTAGAAATAAATAGCTTTTATTTCAGCTTAGAACTTAACACAGTGGTACCATGTATTGAGTGGAGCCAGTTGTGAATTGAATTTGAAACCATGGAAATGCCCTCCAAAGTGCCCTGTATGAAAAAATGAAATTTTCTCAGATGTCCTTCATCTGTGTCACTTGTATTATTTCCTGATTGTAGGTAATTTTTTCATGATGCATTACTGAGTTTGTTAGTAAACCACATTGCAGCCTTGCTTAATATTTCTGTAACTTCAACCAAGTTGTATCAACCGTGAGAATGCTTGCTTTCACAATCAGAGTTTTAATTTTAAAAATTTACCTCATTGGTTAAAATAATGCCTTAGAATCGCCCGCCCGCACCCCTCCCGCCCTCCACACTTCCTCCAAGCCTCCAGCCATAGGATAATAAACAAGCCAGCTCCCCAATGGAAGAAGGGTAGGAGAGAGCACATAGACCCTCTCCAGAGAGGCAGGAAGCTTGTGGTTCTGTTCGGGCATGTGCTGTGATCCCGGTGCGAGTCAGCTTCATTAGTCAGTACTTTGTTTCCCCAGTTAATTTTAGACTTGAGGTGATTGTACTGCTTTACTCTCAGTTCTCCTTATATTAAGAACCATTCCTAGTGTAAAATAGATACAAAGGTATGGCAGTGATTGAATTTGTGGCATGGACTTCTCAGACTTTTCTCAGCTTACTTAACCAGAGTGAGGGACATTCTTGGAATACCTGCTGTTTCCTGAATGACACCTGCAGATCAGGCTTACGTGAAGTTACTTACTGTCAAGAATTTCTGCAGAATGTCTTCAAAATGTCTTTTGGAAGTTTGCTTCCTGACTGTAGGTTTTCGTGGCTGTCACGTTTTATTTTAATGTCTGAAGAGTCTTGGTGCTCTGAGCAGATCAGGATTGGGTTCTGTGGAGGGCGAGTCGTTCTGGAGAGGGTGTGATACGCAGGGGGCCTGCTGTCACTGTCGCCATCGATCAGGGTGAGCTTCTGGTGCTGATGTGCCTGACATCATGCCAAAGAAAGGTGTGGAGGAGACTTCAGCCAAGGCTGAGCTGAACGATTTACTGTAGGAATAAAAGGAGCAGAGGTCCCC